GTTGGTCACAACCTGGGCTTTGAACTTTTGTCGGTGCATTCAGAAATCCCCAGAGGTCTACTGTTGTTATTTAACTTTGTGAAATGTTAAAGATTTTAATCCAATTTTCATCTCTGCAGCGTATTTATCTGCCACTAAATCTCTTTCACAATTTACTGACAACCAGGTGCTTACAAACCTTTCAGCATGGAGTAGTCTGGCAAATGTATATGCAGAATAAAAACAAGCGGCGCAAGATTACTCAGAAAACATTTCTAGTGTCTTCATATTCTTGTGCTGCTCCTGTTATCAAATGTTATACGGTGCTTTCGGACTTCAGATCCTGAGGCTTTACCAGAGGTAGTAATTGTTACTATCCAGTCTCTGTGGATAAGAAATGGAGGCAAAGTGACTTGGTGAAGGTCATCTGGCCAGTCTGTCACTAAGCTGAGACTAAAACCCAGCTCTCCTGCTCTTCAAACACTAAACCAGAATTAATGCTATGTCTTCCTGCAGAAAGCATGGTAATGAGGGCAGAGCAGCAGCATAAATGATTTAAAATTGTAGCTATTTATGCATATTTAACACACAATTTAGTACGTGTTAAATGTATTTATTTTGTATTTATTATGCATTTCATTTAATCAATTTTCAAGCATACTTTTTGAAGGGGGACGGTAAGCAACAAGACCCAAAGGTAGCATGTCTCTGGCTGATCTGCACCATGCTATTGGTAACTCCTCCAGCTGGGCTGAGGGCTTGCGTCCAAGCAAGATCACAAGCTCACACCTGATACGCCCTGTACTAATGCGATACGCCCTGTACCAATGCGATGGGATGGAGATAAGAGCAGGCAGTGTATGTCTCTGCTCTTCTCCAAGCCTGCTGAAGCTTTGAAGAGCCTACACCCAATTTCTTATTTCTTTTTAATTTGTTCTCTCCTTCCATTTATATAAAAAGATCCTTTTTACTGAGGTTGTGTTAGACCCATGAATAGCAATGAGACACAGCATCATGGTGCATCTCTGTGGGTGACGAACTATGGTGCTTTGATATTTAATTGCATTACACTTAGATGAGCAGGCAACTGCTGGCTTGCACCAATACTCCTCTCACTGAGCTCTTCCCCACGCTGTTGAGGGACGTCTCCGTGGGCCTCCAGCTGCCTCTGTCTGGGGGATAGGGTCACCAAGCTCAAGGGACATGGGGTCACTGCTCCTTTACATCAAGGGACATGGGGTCACCACTTCCATACACCAAAAAAGCCTGCCTTGTGCAAAGCCTCCCTCCCCCCCTAATTTTGACAGCAGCCACTTTCTCTGTGTTACTCATTCGGCACAAAAAAAAATGTCTCGTCATAAAATAATTACATACAGATTTCACTTGCATGGGATAACGTACAGATGACTTTGCAATCTCATGCAGATTGAGTGAGAGTTACACAACAGATCAATGCTTTTTGGTGCATGCTGTCTGTGGGTAGAGACATTACTCAGCGTATACTTCTTTTATCTGCCTCCAAGGTATGTAACCCCATGTTGCAATGAAGCTGAACAACCCATGAAACTCATTGCCAAACTGATAAGTAACTTGTGGAAATTGCTGGCACAAGATATGGCTGCCAACAATATAATCAAACTTCGAAAAAGGTTTAGAAAATACTAATATCAAGAATTAGAGAGCATGTAATATTTGAGGGAGAGAGTGAACCCTGGGGTGATAAAATAAATGTACCAAGAGCAACATCGTGATTTGATTCCAAACACTGGGCCGTCCATCTGTTCAAGGGTTGCTCACTATGAGGATCTCCGTGTTTTGGATTTGCACGCTTATAGTTCAGTCCCCATCACTCAGGATGCTGGTTTACATCCCTAAATACCGCACTTGGTGGAAAGAAGGCACAGGCGGGCTGCAAAGGGCAAAGCAGGCAAAGACAAACAGCAGAACGACGATCACATCTGACAAGTAAAAATCTGGAACCAAGGACACGATGTTGCATTGGGGTAGTGGATTATTATCAAAATTCCTGCTTTCTTCACCCACCAGTCAGTTTACCCACCAATGCATTCATTGCCAGCAGTGAGCATCATGGGTATCCATCCCAGACTAAGCCTGTCACCTCTTTTAAACCTCTGGTAGATACAAGCACTGCCCAAATGGGTTAGAAGGGAGAGAGAGGGGGGGAGCTGTATTGTATATTAGAACAGAATAGTTCAGTTGGAATATATGTATACATACATATATACATATATAAATATACACACAAACATATATTTGTGCCATTCTCTTTCCATTTTCTCCAGTAACCAGTCCATATTTACTAGCTGCATCTATGCACCCATGTAAAGGAGAAATATTTCCTTCAGCCCCCAAGAAATCAGTGGGAGCTTTGCCACTGATGAAGCACGCATCGATGGTGACAGCAGGGCAATGTTTCGTCCCTGCTCCACTACGTGTTGAGAGCTGCCAAACAGGAGAAGAGCTGTGCTCCTCTGGCCACAGATGTATGTGCAGGTCCATCCTGGAGTGAGTTAGCAAGGCTAGAAATTCAACCAGCATGTACCTGGAATGTAAGACCAGGCTTTCAGCCTTGTTTTCTGACAAGACAAGCATTTTCACCCACAGGCTTTGGTAGTTCAGGCAACGCAGGCAGCACAACTGTCAGGATGTGGACATTGAAAAAAATGCCTTCCCCATCTCACATTTGGGCTGCTGATAGTACGTGGCTGTTCTTTTACAATTTCCTTCCTGCACAGGCAGCAATCACTAATTTTAGACTCGTTTACATGTGAAAGTCACATTGCTGGCTTGGAAACAGTTTGCTACTTCTAAAGAATAATCCTACCCAGTCTTGCCAGGTAACTACTATTCCATAAATTTAAGCCACAGTTCTCTCGGGTTGTTAAAAGGAAACAATTACAGCACACAATGATGTTGGTTTGAAGGTATCCAGGAGTAAACAACAAAATTGATCCACTTGTGCAACAGCTATTAGAGAAATGCATACAGTGTCTAGCAAAAGTTGAAAGAAATATTATAATTTCCAGGTTTAGCAGTTCTACTCCAAAAAGTGATTTCATAATAATGAAGTGGATAACTCTAGATAGGTAATTATATATAGGTTAGCATTTACATTAGCTTTGTAACTTTTAAGTCTTACAAAAATTTGTCAAGTCTTGCTCTTGCTATTTTAGGAATTTTGGTTTGGTAATGCAGAGTCAGACGATCCTTTTGCCTTTTAATGTGCTGGTGTTAACGTCATTCTTACACGACACATTCCCTGCCAATATTCCCTGCGCTATACGTGGCCAGCTCAGTCACCCAGCACCCTATGAGCTACAGAGGCTCCTCAGTGAGCAGAAATCCCATGTATGCGTATACAGTTCAGAGGTTCTTCGTGCTACTTATTGTAAATGGAGACTCAAAGCTATACACAAATATGACAAGATTCTTGCGAGCATGCCAAGCTGCTAGCAGGGCATATTTAAGCCCCTGGTCCCTCCTGTTAGCGATGAGGGAGCCACATGTTTTTTGCTGTTTTGGCTGGATGCAAGGTGAGGAAGGCACCGCCGGCAGTAGGCTGCTCCGGGCTGTCTCTAACAGGAGTTTTACATGCAGAGCTTCCGTGCACTGCTGAAGACATCCCCAAAACAGCACATGTGTGAGCTGGAGGAACACGGCTTTGCTGGCCTGTGGAGGCTCAAGGGGCTCATGAAAATGTTGGCCTCCAGCCACCCAAGGCAGCAAGGGCAGGGCCATCCTGCCCTCCCCTGCCGCTTGGTGGGGAGCTCTGCAGCGCTTTCACACAGCCCTGGGCGTGCACAGGTGTGCACAGATGTGCACAGGTGTGCACAGGCGTGCGGCTCTGGCACCAGCACCCGTGCCCATGCCAGCCACATGCAGTGTCACGTCCGCCGGCTGCAGCTCCAGACCAAAACCAGACAGTCTCTGCTGGGACAATAAGAGGTAGGAGAAGAGGGGCACCAGAGCAAACCTCGGGGAGAGCATTGAGTGCTCAGGCATTTTACAGAGTATTGTAAACTTCTTTTATGCTTGTATTCCTTAAAAGCATTTGGAATGTTTCCTTAAAAAGGTGTGGGTGGTCAGCGAATAGATATGCAATCCAACCACTCACATTTCCAGGGAGCCTCCTGTTGCTTTAGGAACATTTTGCAAGACCACGTCTGAAATCCCGGACAACCTTTTAAACGATTTCACGACCACTCAGCA